ACAAAACTCAAACAAATCGAACTAAAAAGGTGATATTCGTAATCAGCACAAAATTCTGCATCGGATGATGTGTCTTTCAAGGAAAAATGAAGAGTGCTTGATTTTTGAATTAGCGGCACCTTACATTACTTGCTAATGGTAATATTACAGGAATATTAGATTTTAAAAATTCTGATTCTAAAATTATGCTTACTGCGGATAAGAAAATTGTTGGTAATGTGATTATTACAGGGGGCCCAAATGGAGAATTAAACTTTGAAAATGGTGGAGAGGTTATAGGAAATGTTGGGGATGAACAAAATGCCATAAAGGTTATTCACATCCAACAAGGGATTGTTAAATTTGCAAATACTAATCTAAGAACTATAGATATATCTGGTTTATTCTCAGATCACGACAGATTGATTCGGTTGCAAGCGTTGGGTTATCAGCCAAACTATAAGACCAAAATAGTTGTTGATGATTTTAATATCAGTGATAATGCCGGAGCGCAGTTCAATGATGCAGTTTTTATTGGAAAGACAGTACCTAATAATAGTACAATGAAAGGTGGTAACTTGGAGTTTAAAGATGATGTATGGCTCAATAATGCAATAGAGAAAGCAGATAAAATTAAGTTTGCTGCTAATAAATTTGCGGTACTAGCAAACAATATTAAAGCTCAAGATATTAATGCTGAACAAGCCAAAGTGATAATAGCAAATGATATGAGTATTAAGGGTAGTAATTTTACTGCTCCAGGTATGCTATTGGATTTAGGTGATAAAACGCTAACTTTTGGTATAACTGGAGCATTTAAAGGAACTCTGACAATTAATACTACCTACAATAGCGCAGTACCTCTAGAAAGTGGTCGTATAAAAATAGCTGCAGACGGGAAAATGCTTCTTTCAGAAATAGATAAGATAGCTATTAACGTTTTTATTGCAGGTGAGCAGCCAGTAACAGGTACTAAATACCGATTAGTGCAGCCAGAAGATGAGACTAATAGCGACAATAATATTATTGATGGTCTTAATAAAGACCGACCAAAGACCATTGTACAGTTAAATAAAGATCAAACTTACTTTACCGAATGGGAAGTAGATGCAGATGGTAAGAATTTATTTTTATATAGTACATTACAAAACTGTGAAGAGGTTCAGAAGGAGGCGAGTGAAACCCTAAAAGCAAAAGAAGCAGAACTAGCATCAGTTAAGGCAGCTTTAGCGGAAGCTACCAAAGACAACGCAGCACTAGTGGAAGAGCTGGCTAAACGAGTAAAACAAGCTCAAGACGCATTAGAAGAGGAGAAGACCAAGCTAGTAGACCTAGAACAAGCTAAGACAGATGCGGAAACAAACGCTACTCGAGCAAAACAAGCTGAAGGAAGACTAACAGAAGATTTAGCACAAGCTAAAGCAAAGGTAGAAATAGAAGCTAAGGAATTAGCAGCAGCTAAAGCAGAACTAAAAAAAGCTAAACAAGATATAGCAGACCTAGAACAAGCTAAGACAGATGCGGAAACAAACGCTACTCGAGCAAAACAAGCTGAAGGAAGACTAACAGAAGATTTAGCACAAGCTAAAGCAGAGGTAGAAATAGAAGCTAAGGATACTGACACATATGCTCGGGAATTAGCAGCAGCTAAAGCAGAACTAAAAAAAGCTAAACAAGATATAGCAGACCTAGAACAAGTTAAGATAGCAGAACTAGCACAAGTTAAGATAGATGCAGAAACAAAAGCTAAGGCATTAAAAGAATCAATCGTTCAACAAGCATTTGCTCAAAACGCAGAACAGAAAGAATTTGCTGATCAGTTAAATAATGTTACTGATAGCGCAAGCGATGCTGCTAGATTTTATAGTAGTTTAGGACGATTTAATAATGTAGAAGATGCTAGAGACGCAGTACAGAGACTTGCTTCTCGTACCGTGCCACCAGCAGTAGTAATGCCCCCCC